ACTTACAATCACCATGTCATTCATGGATAAGCAAATGAGCACAACATAATTATTACAAAATTTTGAATATAAAGATTTATCAACACTTTTATGTTTAAATCCAAAAGAAATTATTGCTAAATCAATTTTTTTTGTATTATTTCGTGGCGTTCGTTTAATCCATATAAGTATTTTATTAATTTGCATACTTTATCCTCATTTTTGGGTAGAACAAAATCTTTCGATTGTTCCATATAAACTTCCTCATTGAAATTCCCATTTAAGAATGTCATCTTAACATTCATTTGATATATATGCAAGTGATAAATAGAAGCTAAGGCGAATAAAATCTTAATTGATATTCGTGCAACCGGGCATATGTGTCGAAGTAATCAATTTTTATTCTTTTGTTGATATCATTTGTCCACTAACCTAGTTTTAAAGGTATTAAGAGTGCTTTCTATATTGTACTTCCTCCTAAATACTCATTACAGCCTGTATGTTTCGATTCGGTAGTAAATCGACTAATTTCCACTTATTGTTTAACATTATTGATTCAATTACAACATTTTTCCAAAAAAATACTATCTCTAGATGACATTGATTCTTGATAAGTTTTAAGATCGATTTCCATTTGAAGAACATATGGAATAGTTCTTGTGATGCTCTTCTCATTTTTCTCAACCAAATAAAAAGAAATAAATTGATAATCAAATTCATCTGATCATAACATTTTCTCTTTTCAAGCTCTTTTGCTTATGCTGAGTTCACTTATTTCAATATCCTCAAAACGTGTTTCTACTTGTGATCTTGTAAAACTAGAAATTTCTACTTGAGGTTCCCTTAAAGAATTATTATCTAAAAATAACAAATTCTCAAAAAACTCTATTTTTTGGGATTCAATAATGACATTGGTTTTCAAGTTTAATAAACAATAGCCCTTGCTGTTTTGGGCATATCCCACAAGCTCGCATTTGATCCCTCTATGACTTAGTAGAGTCTTTTTAGGATTCATTCTTACTATAAGGAAGACACTCTACACTTTGAAATAATCAATATTTGATTTTTCCCCTTTCCACAATTTGCAGGGCGAAACTTAAGTCTTTTAGAAGGAATCCTATTAATTATGTAACACGCACTTAACAAAGCTTCACCACATAAGTTAGATGACAATTTAGTGCTTAATAACATAGTATTTATCATTTCAACTAGTGTCCTATTCTCTCTCTCAACCAAACTATTTTGTTCGGGTGTTCTAAGTCACTACTTTAATGTATTATACTATGTTTGTTGACAAAAAACAAGACTAAATTCATTTAAATTTTTTTTTACCTCTCCTATCACTTCTAAGAATTTTTAATCTTTCTATTTAATTGATTTTCTATTTTAGTTTTGTATGTCTTAAACTTGCTAAAGGTTTCATCCTTATGTTTCATCAAATAGATATAACAAAACTTAGAATGATTATATATGAATGTTACGAAGTATTTATTACCTCATCTAGTTAATATTGGATTTAATTCACATATTCGGAATGAATTAAGTCTAATTAATTAGAGGTCCTTTCAACACTATGAAAATGTTTTTTAATCATTTTAGACTTAATACATAATTTACATTTATTATGTTTTATGTTTTCACACGAAATCATTTTGATTTTTATCATTTTTTTAAGAGTAAAGTACCCAATATATCCTAATCTATCATGCCATAAAAAAATAGACTCAGCAACATAATTCAAATTTGTAGTTTTGTTAATATAATTATCATACAAAGTTTGACAATTCAATAGTACAAAGTTTGTCTCATTCATATGCGGACTTAGTTCTCGAGTTGTCCAACAAATCCTCACTTACAAAATTTCTATTCATATCAGATAAATGTAAAACATTTATCAATGTAATCTTCTTGCTGAATGTGAATTGTAAGTTTGCGCTTCCTTTACCAACAACCTTGGATTAAACTTCATTACCTGTTTGTAGGGTTGGACAAAAACCAATTCAAAC